TTATATATATATATATATATATATTGTATGAGTCGCTGAAGATTGTATGAGTCGTTGAAGCATTCATATGCAGCACCCCAACACTTGGAGCCTGAGAGTTTGATGCTCCAATGCTAGAAGGGGACACCATGGCGCTTGACCCATGTCCACATGTAGGTTTAGAAATGAAGCACTTGTCACCCTCAGCACCCGGAGGTTGACACCTAAGTGCCAATAGGGGGCGCCATAACACCCAATCATGGCATCCCAACTATAGTAATTGCATATGGGTTGTTTGAGTCTTAAAAGTACATCCTTGTTGTAGGATATATGCGTTGAAGTTGAATTTCAAAACTTCTCTTGTGCGAACGAGAGGAAGGAGTGTTCTTGAGTTCAAAAAATATAAAGACTCGATCTTGAGGTTTTTTGTATTAAATTTTTATGTTTTTAGTTTTTAATATGATTTCTTATTTTTGTGTGCTTTTATTGTGACTTTTTTTTCAGATATCTCAAATTAATTTTTTACATCTCTCTTCCCCAAGAAAGTTGTATTAAAGAGCATTTTCGGAAGTCTTTTTGTTTAAATGGGAGCAATGGTTAATGAAGCGAGACACAAGGTTGAAAAGTTCAATGATTTTAACTTTGCTTTTTTGAAAATACAAATTGAATATTTGTTATCAATTAAACATTATTTGTCACTTGATGGAGTCACAAAGATGTTAGAATCAATGAATATAAAAGAATGTGAAGTTCTTGATTGAATAACACGAGGTTTTGATCTGACTCATTTTTCTCATATCCTGCTTAAAAATTGTGAATGAGAAATCTATTATTGATATCATTGATGAACTAATAATAATTTATGAGAAGTCTCCTACTTCAAACAAGGTATTTCTAATGAAATGGTTATCTAATGTAAAGATAGTAGATGTAGTTTAGTGGTTGAGCTTTTGAATGACTCCAACAATGTGATAAACCAATTATGTTATGTTGACATCAAGATAGATGATGAGATGAGGACACTGTTACTTTTATCCTCAATGTGAATAATTGGGATGGTCTAGTTTCAACGGTGAGTAGTTATTGAGGTAATATGGAGTTAATTTTTTATGATATTGTGGGGTAAGTGTTTAATAAAAAAGTTCGTAATAAAGCGAACGATAAATCTTCAATGTCTACTATAACTGTTGGAACTAGAGGAAGGGATACTGATAGAAACACAAACAGAGAAAGATGTAATTTTAGTAGAGGAAAGTATAGGTTAAGAAGAGAAAAGGACATATGTGAATGTTGGAATTGTGGAAAAAAATGTCACTTTAAAAAAGGTTGAAAAGCTTTGAATAAATTTGGTGGTGAATGTCTGGATAGAAAGTTTTCTGCAAATGTCTCCACATTAAATTCAAAGCAACTCTCTTATTTATTTATATATGGTAATGAATTGTGGATGATAGATTCAAGTATCTTTTTCATGCTTGCCCAAACAAACTACAGTCAGTGTAATATAAAAAATATGTATTTGAGAGATAACAATGTATGTAATATTATTATAAATGATGGTGTTGATATCATATTGTCAAATAGATCAGTCTGTAAACCAAATGAAGCTAGACATTTTCCATGTTGGAAGAGAAATATGATTTTTATGAGTCAGCTTGCAAGGTTAATGAATGTTATCACTTTCACAGATGATTCAAGGAATGTGATTAAATGTGTAATGATGATAGTTTGATACAACATTAAATAAACCATTGGTTAATCAATGAGATTTTTGAATCTATTGGAGTACTCAAAACAAAGGTTGATGTAAGTCTCTGGCACCACATACTTGGTCATATAAATGAAAAATATATGAAGTCTCCCATTCCTAAATATAAACTTTTGGGTTTAAAATGCTTAAATTTTTGTGAATATTATGCTTATGACAAACAAAAGAATGTTACTTTCTCTAAAAATTTGCCAAAGTTAAAGCTCAAAATTCCGAAGTTATAACATGTTGATATATGGGATCATACACAAATTTAATTTATTTAAGGTTTTTCAATATTTTTGCACTTTTATTTATAATCGCACCAGAGAGGGTATGAGTATAATTCTTAAGATATAAATATGATTTATTCATGTGTTTAAGGAGTGAAAAGTTATGCTTGAGAATGAAACATGTTTGAGGTTGGAGTGTCTCAGGTCATATATTGGTGGCGAGTATCGTGATCGGAGGTTCGAGAGTTATTATATTTTAGAATGAATTTGACATTAGTTCACTATTCCAGTGACACCACAACAAAACAATATTGTTCAACATGTAAATAGAGTCATCATAGAATGTGTCAGGAGTATAAGGTTGCATGCAAACTTGTCAAACTTGTTTCGAACAAAAGTAGTGAGCACTACAATTTATCTGATCAATTGTGACTCATAAGTACCTTTGAATGAAGGTTTGCCTAAATAAATTTGGAGTGTAAATGAGGTAAATCTATCTCTCATTAAAGTATTTGGTTGTTCATCATATGTTCATATTGATGAAAGATCCATGAGCAAGCTTGATACAAAATCTGTCAAGTGCACTTTTATTTTCCATTGCTCATATAAATCTAATTACAGACTATGAGAGTATCAAAAATAGAAATTTATTAGGAGCAAGAATGTCACTTTCAATGAAATTGAGATATACAATGACATTAACATAACTCAGGATTATTCATGAATTATCATTGAAGACCCCTTCAAATATGTTGAGATAGAAGATCCATGATCAATGAGATAGAGAAAAAAGGGTGCACAATTTGATGAAGCATAAGAAGTTTCTCAAACACCTACTACTGAATTCAAAAGATCTAATAGAATCACGAAACTAATAATGAGGTATTATCATTATTTATACTGTTTATTATTGATTGATAGTGATGAACTAAAGTGTCATTATGAGGTTGCTCAAGTCGAATACTCAAAGGAATAAGAGTCTGTCATGGATGATTAGATGTAGTCATTAATATCAAATTAGATATGATAATTGAAGAAACTACTAGATTACAAAAAGACATTGCATCATAAGTTGGTTTGCAAATTGAAAAAACAATCAGATGATATTAAGCATTAGTGAAAGGATTTCAACAAAAGGAAATATTTTACTACACGGAGATATTTCCTATTGTAGTGAATATGATAACTATTGGAGTTGTGTTGGGCTTAATAGCAGAGAATCTTCCTACACGGTGATAAAGATACAAAGTTCTATGAAAAGAATACATGATCAATAGATGTAATAGAGTTTTTATGACTTGAAGTGGGCGCAAATACAGTGATACAAGAGATTTGATAGATTTATTTCAAATAGTGGGCACATGAAGTGTTTGACAGATCATTATTATTTCATCAAACATTTTAATAATTGCTATATTGTAATTGTTTTGTATGTGAATGAGATGGAAGTAAACACAAATAAATTATGGACTTGAAGGAGCAATTATTAAGAAAGATTGAAATGAAGGATTTGGGTATACCAAAAGAAATAATCAGTATGAGAATTAGTAGGAATATGAGTGCATTAATATTGAAGTTATCTTATATAAGATATGATGAGATGGTTATACATAGATTCAAAATGAGGGAGACAATTAGTTTTCACCTTCTTAGGCAGGTTCTTTAAACTATCCAACGAATAATTGGCAGAGCAGACACAGATGAGAAAAGCTTCATGTACTTAAGCTGCTAAAAGTTTGATGTATGTGATGATGTGTATAAGACCGTATATTGCATATGTATAGAGAGTGGTGAACACGTAGATGAGTAATATACATAAATATCAATAAGAGGTAGTGAAACAAATCTCATATACTTGAAAGGAATAATCAACAAAATAATTTGCTTTGGAAGTGTAGTGATTAATTTATAAGAATATGTGGATACATATATGACATGAGATATTAATGATAAAATAAGTACAACATGCTATATCTTTACTTCAAAGAACACAAAAATGAGTTGAATATCTAGGTTACTAAGGTTATTGTTCTATCAACTACAAAAGCTAAGTATATTACCTTCACTAAGACTATGATTTGACTAAAAAGTTTAATGGCAGAACCTGAAATGAAATAAGGAAATGAAAAGCTTTGAAGTGATAATATGAGGTCATTCATATAATGAAGTACATTGTATTTAATGTCAGGAGAAGCACATTCAAGGAAGGTGTCATTTCACACACACTCCAAAAAGTTGGTTAATTATCTTTAGAGAATATAACACATCTCAATCTCGTAAACATGCTGAGTAAAACTATAACAACAGACAAAATGAAGCTATATTTGGTTTTAGTTAGAATTTAAGAAGGTTAAGATAGAGTTAAGCCACAATACAATTCATTACTATGAATATGTTGTAGCCTGGGAGGAGTGAAATTGATTGCAATCAATATCTAAGTGAGATATTGTTATTATGTGGAGTTTGGTTGCATGAATTAATTGGTCACTAAAAGCTCTCAGTTTTGTCGATTGAGCCTGAGAGGGAATTTACTTTTCTATACTGGGCGCCGCAACACCTGGATGTAGCGGGCTAATGATTTGAAACTTGAGCATTCGACACTCTGATGCCAAAAAGGGGCACCACAACGCCTAACCCAGGTCCATATAAAGGTTAAAGAATAGAGTGTCGACACCCCCGTGCTTGAAGCTCAATGCCTCAGTGCTAGAAGGAAGCGCCCTAACTGCTAATATATTAATCGTGATGCCTTGACGCCAATAACCGCATTCGGGGAGTTCAAGGAGTAAAATTACATCTTTGATGCAAGATCATTGTGCATTGAAGTTGAATTTCATGATTTCTCTCATGCAAAGGTGAATGAGTGTTCTTGAGACATAAAAGTGTAAAGAGGCCTAAGTGGGTGTCATTTGTTCAATTAGCTTCATTTTTCATAATGAATTTATCAGCATGATGTCGCTCTATGATTATTTCTTGTTCTTGGGTTTTTCCACATTAATCTTGGCTTTCTTTGTATTTTGGTGATGTTTTGTTTTGTGCGCTTCAATTGTAAATCTTACTTCATATCTCTCAAATTGGTTTTTTGCATCTCTTCCCCAACATCTTCACCACATTCATTGAAATGATAAATAAGTTACCTAAAATGTTATCTAAGTTTGTTAGGTTTTGTATAGTTTGAAACAAAAAAAAACTTTCTCCTTTTATAGATAATCATGTCATGCATGAAATTTTATTTAATGAACATAAAATAATACACTGTGGATCTTTTACTCACCGTTTGTTGTATTACACAAGGGAAATTATTCCATAAATAATTCCCTAAATACAATTTATTATTGATCAGATCATTTTCGTGTTAAACTCTAAGATTCACACCAATTGACCGACATGTCATTGCAATATAAAGTTAATTTAAAACCCCTTAAGTAAAAAAGAAGTTGAACTCTTAAACGTCAAGACGTCTCTTAGTGTAATGGTGTAATTTTAACATAAACTCCAAAGCTAAGCGAGCTTGTATGCGAGAACATTCGGGATGGATGACCTTCTCACAGTTTACACCATTATAGCAAAATAGCGACACCAATAGGCCAAAAAGACAATATCTCAATGGGTGAAAGATTTGGCAGTTACAGCCAATCTCGTCGAAAATCTCATTGCATAAGTGACCTACATCAAGGTGAGCTTTGGAAAATGCTCCTTTAAGTTCAACTTCTCATCATTCTTTAACTCAAACAATTGATATTCAATATTGTGTTTCTTACTACCGTGTATCATACAAATATCTCGTTATATTACTTGTAATAAATGAATAAAAAAATATTTAAATGTGGAAGGCATGAATAAAATAATAAATGAAAATTAGAGCAAATTTCTATAACTTTCATTAAATGATAGTTCTATTGACGTGAATCATAAATTTTAATACAAACCATTGTTGTATTATAAATATAAGTAGACCTTATTAGTATTAATAAAAACTAAAAATACATGCTATATCCCCAATCAAGAATTTTCTCATGGAATATTATAGTTTAGGTGATATAAAAATTTATATAACAATAAAAAAAAGGAGAGGGAGATTATAATATCAAAATTAAGAGTTCTATAAATATTGCTAATAATTATTATATGCATTTCTAATTTAAAATAATAAATAGAATATTATAAGACTATTAATGCATAAGCGTGTCGCACAAAATAACCTCACCTTCTAAACACGTCCATCTTCTTCCTTCTTAAAGCCGCCGCTCCCGATTGCGAGGGTTTGATTTTACTCACAGCCGGCACCTGCTTTTTCGAGAAAGCGCAAGCTAGGATGAGAAGAGCGCACAATATCTACTCCCATTTCCTCGTCCCGAGGAGAACGATCCCGCCTTCCTCAGTAGTTTCTAGCACCAGACTCACCGGAGAGCAGAAACTCCTATCTGCCGCGCTTTACAGCTCCGTCACCGCGTTCGATCTCAGTCGATGGTGTTCGAGTCTTAGGTTTCCGGTTGCATCTCCATCTATTGCGTCAAAGTCGATCAAGAATGGCGTGGCGGGAGCCCTGTCTTTCTCTTTCGCTCTGTCGACGGCGGTGGAGGCGAAGGAGCCCCCTTCCGCAGAGTTCTTGCCAAAAGATGTGGTTCTTTATCAGTACGAGGCCTGCCCTTTTTGCAACAAGGTTAAAGGTACGCCGTTTGGTTTTGGGTGGAAGTGGAGTGGTCTTTTCAAGTTGTTTGTGATGATTATGAATGATAGATGCTGCGGAAATATAAGATCAATTTATATTTTCTTAAAGGAATGAATGGTACGAAAAATTGCTAATTTGTAGAATTAAAACATCAGATCATGCTAACTTAACATGCTTATTCTATCATATAAATATTTTGTTGCCTGCAACCTAACAAAACATATTATTATTTATAGACTGAAAACGCATGCCATGAAGGTAAGATAATGTTTTATGGAAAATAAAAGTTATATGAGGCAATGAAAAGGACTACGTACTGTTGAGTGGCAATGCAAGAAGATAACAACGGCACCATTATATGAGATTGAGCGACAATATAATACTGATCCAACTTTCTATGAAAACAAAATTAGGTATTTAAAGTTTAATGCCATGTGCATAGGAAAATCAGTAAAGCAGGAACATGAGGGAGTTTCTTGATTTGTAATTGGAGAGTCTAAGAGCAAGATGGCTAGGAACATCGTTTGTGTTTGGACAAGGAAATCATTAATCTAAAGTTGTCAAGTGGTCCAGAGGTACCTTGGATGGATCGTTTGAACGCCTTGATGGATGATGGAGAGTTCTTAGATTGTAGACGACTCAATGAAATTGTAGAGCAGCATAAATCATTTTGACAGTGAAAGTAAGGTGTTGGAGAGTGCTTTTATTATGGTTTGAATGCCAGTTGGTGGTCTCGATGTCTAAATAACATGATATAGCATTGGAGAACAAAGATGTGTGGACATGTTGGCTCCTCATAGTACCTTTGATTCCCAAATGTGTTGAAAACTCAGATTGAGCTTTGAGCATGGAACACTCACTGAAATCGTGGCCCACCACTCACCTATATATTTATTTGGATGATTTTGTGTGTTTTTTTACTCTTAAGGTGTCAATAATTGTTGAAATGATCATACGTAGTTTGTCTAGATTATAGAACATGACTATCTTGGAAAAATTGATTAGCCAAATTACCATAGGTTTGGGGTTAAAACCAAGATCGTATTTATGACATTGAATTAAATTGGCCAAATTGTATTGGTTAGGTTGATCAGTTTGGGGCAGCTAATGCACACATTTTCCTCTTTAACAAAAGAAGGGGATGTAGGGACTAAGGGCCCATTTGGTTTGGTGGTAGGAGCGTGGTGTGGGGCTGGCCGTGAATCGTGATAGTTTGGGACGGCTTCTCAAGTGCGGCGAGATGCCGTTTTGGCTAAATGCGGGCCGTGGATCGAATCCCGCGGCCCGTGTTTGAGCGATGGCTTATTACCCGAGTTACTCTTTGTCGCTCCTACCATAATTCCCTTTCCCTCTGTTCAATGCTAAATCCCTCGTGCTCCTCTACTATTCGACGAAACTATCCCTCCCCGTCGCTCCTTTGCTGTTCGACAAAGCCGTCACTTGTCGCTCCTACCACTCTGATTTCGTCCCAAACCGCCATGTGTCCTCTCCTCTCCCCAATCTCGTGATTCACATGTTGGGTTTTTTCTAGCATGTTGGTTTTTTCTAGCTATCTCTGTTGGGGCTTATGGATTCGGTGGTTCTTGTGTTAGCCGTGGTGACGATGTGTTATTCTTTTGGATGTAGTGAAGGAGTTGGCGGTTCGAGCACTTTTTCTTCAACATATGCGAATGCTTGTTTGTTGGATTTGTGATGTTTAGATTTGTAAATGCTGTTCGGTGGTATGGATGTGTGATATGGATGTGAATGCCACATGTTCTTGGTTGCTTGAGCAATTTTCATATATTTTTTTCTTTTTTTAGTAAACTTGGTACTTACTGTTATGTGAGGTTTGTATCTTGTTTTTTTATTATTCTGAAGTAGTTTTTTTGCTTCTCAAGTATTAAATATATTGCTATGATAGTTTTGTTGCAAACAACATTATTGCACAGTGGTAAAATAACTATTTATTCAGAAACAACTGTCACACAACTGTTTTCAAACTGTGAAAAACAAATAGGCAGTCAACTTTCCCACAACAGCTTCTTGGGGCAGCTGCTGTAAACCAACTTGTTGGATAAGTTGTAGTTGCTCCAAACAGACCCTAAATCAACTACCTCAGCTTTGCTAATATCAATTGAATCCATGCCGATCCAACAAGTTACTTGTTGGAAAGTGGCCGAATTTTTTCAAATTTAAAGTTGTTTGCTTACTCCAGCATAAATACTCATCATATAGAAAAATAAGTTAGATTTATAGAGGCTTTGGCATTATAATATCAAATATATTTGAATTAATTGCATTCATTGCAATAGAATCGAGACATTAGATCATACTTGGCATATTACTCAAGATAAGCTATTTGTATAAAATAACAAAACATGCTTTTTCTGTCATAGTTATTTGAATGTGTTGGAAAATAAGAGGTAGGAATTTACTTTTAAGGAACGACTATCAAGCTACAAGCTTGCGGAAAAGAATCATGGCTTTCTTCATTCCTCCTATTTCCAAGAAAAAAATCTCTCTTTTGTATACACTCTCTATTGTGAAATATTATCTTTGCAAAGCAATGATTTGCCTATTTAGGAGCACTATAATTTATGTTTCAGAATATAATGAGTAATTTCTTGTTGCCAAATATTTTATTTATAAAATTTTCTTGGGTTTTATTTGTCCCTCCAACATTTTTGATCAAAGATGATGGCCTATTATACTCTTAGCATTTCCAATGCTCCTTGGTTTCTTGCCGTCATTGAGCTTTCACCTCTTCCTTAACTGGTTATGTTTGACATGCCGTTGTATTGGACATTTGGGTGATTGTGGTGGTTGGAACTTAGTGTAAGTGTGTTGTAAGAAAAAGGCTTTTCCTCTCTGCTATCATTAGTCAATTTCGGTCACCCCTCAATTGCTTGGGTTGCCTTTAGCCTTCTTCACCGATCATCGAAATTTCCACTGTATTCGGGATTGACTCATGATGCTTGTAGCCTTATAATTCATATGTGAACTCTTTGGAATTTTTGAAATGGTCGATTATTGCACTTTGTCATTTCGGCAGTCAAGTATTTGTCTAGAATATCAAGATTTGATTTCTTTAAAGTACTAGAACTAAACTAGATTGATATTGTGTCAATCATCTCTATTAACCTTGAGACGAGAAATTTATAAACAAATCACAAGTTATATAATTCTTTAGTTTTGATTCAATAAGATTTCTATTTTCAGTTTTCAATGGTATATGTTTATGTTTCATGTGTGATTCTGCAGTGTGCAGTACAGTTGCAATTCTTGTTAAGGTTTGGATTTTTCTCACCTTTATGATTGATCATTTATTGTTTTTTCTATATATTTTATTATTTGCTTTGATAGGGTTCATGATGTTGATCAAGTTTGATCCAATTAGAATTTTAATTGCGATAGAAGTAATTGCATGCTGATTTTTTTGTGTTGGAAATTTTGATTGGTTTATTCGGATTTAATAGATCATTGCATTGTCATTTTGATTTTAGTTCTCATATTTTCTGGAATGTACCTGGAGAAATTGAATTTTTTGTTCATTTAGTCTATTGATGCGTTAAGTCATATTTTCTTTTTTGTGACCGACATCATTATATAATCCTTATTCCATTGGAATCATTGATCCTTAAGCATGCCACATTAGGAACTGATGTAAAATGCATAACAACCTTTCAAATTAGCATCGCAATAGAAATAAGACATTAAACTTGCAACAGAATAACCACAACTTTCCAAATTAGTGGTTGGGCGGAAGTAGTGGAAACTTGACAAGTGTTAAAGCAATGAACATAATTTCCATGAATTGAATCAACTTGTACTACATGCATTTGAGAACACTCACTTCATTTATTTATCCTCTCATTGACATGTTAAATTAAACCAAACTAGGAAAATGGAAAGTTGGAAATAAAAATAAAACACTATTTAACATCAAAATTTGAAGTTTTTAACAGTCACATCTTGCATTTCCACCAAGGATAAACAAATATTTTTGCATCGGGAGATTGCAATTATACAATATAGCTATTGAACAATAGAATAATGTTGATCCAATTGAGAAAGTGTAATACCAACGAAAGTAGTCATTTAAAAGTTCATATCCAATTCATAGAAAGGTTCAAAAAAGTAGGAACTTGAGGGATTGAATTCATTTGTGGTAGGCAAATTTAGGAATGCAATGGTTTAGAGCTTCTCAACCTAAGCTAATTTGTTGATGTATGAGGAAGTCAACAACTCAAACTTCTGAAGTGTTGAGGTGCATTATGTGGACCATTTGAGGGCTTTGATGGATGGAAATAGATTATTAGAATGGACATTACTTATTGAAAGTGTGTAGTAGGCATTGCAGTGGAGATAGTAAGATGCTGAGGTGGTGACTTTGAGGAGTGAAAGATGAGTGGGGAGCTAGACAATTGGTTGTCACTAATATTAACCTCTTTATCCAAAGTAAACACACGGGCAAAAGTGATATATGATAAAATTGGTTATAAAGGATATTTTCTATATTTATTTCTAGGCATTACTAATATGCTTCACACAGACGTCCGCGTGCGCACATACACACATATAAACAACTTGCCTGCCCACATACAAAACACAAATCCCTTCTCACTCTTCTCTCTATTTATTCACATAACTTCAATGTTAAATAATCTTGGAAGACATATATGTTTGTTAGAAAACTTTTTAATGTTAGTTTATAGGTATGTGCTGATTTAGCTTTTGCATGTTTTAAATATTTTAAACACAACCACACACACTATATATAATAATAATAATAATAATAATAATAATAATAATAATAATAATAATAATAATAATAATAATAATAATAATAATAATAATAATAATAATAATAATAATAATAATAATAATAATAATAATAATAATAATAAGTTTTGATTTCTTAGTAAGGACAACTTGATGGATGGAAATTGAATGAGTAAAGAAAATATTATTTTGAGACTTGCTATCCCATATCCATTTCTCTCGTTACACTCTTTTCTAGTGTAAATTTATCTGTCGCTATATGTAGTTCTATATTTAGTGGTATCAAAGTTGCTCCGGCTATACCCTTTAGTACTCACGAGACTCTTTCACGCAATGAGACTTGTCTTATATCCTTCTTATCAAGTCACTCTTTCACACAATCTCTTGCTTCACATCTACATGCACCCATCAGATCACTAATCTCTTTTTCCACATTGCACGCCTGCATACGACACCAACCAATCATGTCTATTGTTCTTGGCTTTATTTTTGCATCAACTATCTTCACATTGCGACGCAATTCCGCAACCATGCCCCATGCAAGTGTTCTTACTGGAGATCAATTCTACACCTGACTCTTAAGGAGCCCTTAATCGTCATTGCTGCTCCACAACATTTATGAATGAGTAAATAACTTCTATCATTAGATTTTCATATTAGTGCTTTTATACAATTACAATTTAGAGAGATATCCAATTTCCCTAGCATTGATTAAGATTATTGTACATGATATTACTTATTTCTTTATGTTATTATCGATGATTTAATATTCCCAGCTTTATCAAGGCGCTTTAGCTTATCAAATTCATGATGTCGGTCAACATGTAAGCTTTCAGACCTCCAAATTTTTCACATATTATTCAGTCACGAACTTTATATTATCACCTATATTGCATTTAAACTACAATGAAACTTTAGTTCATTTAATTCATGATGCGCGATAGTGCTCTACTTTGGAACATCTAGATTCTTCATAGATTGTTCAGTCACTTATGGTACCATTGGCCTTGCTTGGTGGGCGTTAATCACATCTACGACTCTTGTACCACATTGCCTACTTACATTTGGGTGTATTTAATGCTATGCACAAGTCAACTACGCCTTTTACGCCATCTTGGTCACCTTTCAACTCTTATAAGAAGAGTTTCTCTCAACCATAGAGAATATTGCTGGAAAAATATTGTCTTTTTTAGTCCATATTAGTTTATAAACATATGACTACTAAATATTTTAATTATTTTCATCGAGAGCGTAGATATTTTTTTTGGCTGATTTGCTAGATCTTTTCAAACTTAAGTTGTTAATATGCTTTGAGATGATGGTAATCTATCGATTCAGGTTCCATAACACTGCTTCCAAATAGAAATTGATTAGCCAATGTACCTTGGTATTTAGGCCAAAATCCAAATTGTGATTTTTGATAATGAATCAAATTGACCAAACGATATTGGTTTGATTAATCAATTTTAGTGAGCTTAGCTCTTCATTAAAGAAGGGGCGTGGTAGTAGGAATTCAGTCAACTACCCCAAATTTGTTGGTAACAACCGAGTATATTGATATCCATTTAGTTGAAGTAGTTTTTTTTTATTGGAAGATTAACATAAATCTTTGTTTTTACTATTGAAAGATGTTTGTTTAATCCAACGTTCAAAAAATAAAGATAGATTCAATTGTGACTCCTGGTTGCCTAAACTGAGATTCTTTTTTATTTTCATTTATAATTTTCAAATGCATAGGGAAGGTATATGAACTTCTTTTATGTTATGTACTTTGTAGGCTTGAGCATAGTTTCTTTATATTTTCTTGATGCTCCCTTAACATTTACAATTGAAGTTACCACCCAACATAACAAAACACAAGCACAATCCTCTCAAATTGAAGGAAGAGAGCTAGAGAGAGGGATTTAATTAGTTGTGATAGGGTTTTTGGATGATTCACTTCGTTGGATTAGAGTTGCCTATATGCGGTGAAATGTTGGTATGGAGTATTGGTAAATTACTAATTGAGAATATATTTAGTATAAGCAAGAGGTAGAATTGCAGTCCGGATTTCCAAAAATTTTATTTGATGTGATCTTTATGGTTAACAAATGTAGCATGTACTTAAGTTGCCTTTATGTGTTGAGATGTTGGTAATAAACCAACTCAGGTTCTCGAACACTACTTCTAAGTAGAAATTGATTTGCCAATGTACCTTAGTATTTAGGCCAAATGCCAAATTAGAATATTTGATAATGAATCAAATTAACCAAACAATATTGGTTTGGTTAATCAATTTTACTGAGCTTAGCTCTTCATTAAAGAAGGGGTGGGGGGTAGTTGGAATTCAGTCAGCTACCTCAACTTTGTTGGTAACAACCAAGTTTATTTCATATCCATTCAGTTGAAGTAGTTTTCTTTGTTGAAAGATTCATGTTTTATTTTATTTTATTTTAATTGAAAGATCTTCATTTAATCTAACGTTCAAAAAATAAAGGGAGATTCAATTGTGACTCTTGAATGCATGAACTAAGGTTCTTCTTTATTTTTATTTATAATTTTCAAGCACATAGGGAGAGTCCGAAGCTTGTTTGTTATTTACTTTGCAACTACGAGCAAAATTTCTTTATATTTTTCGGATGCTCCCCAAACATGTACAATTGAAGTTAACACACAATATAACAAAACACAAACACAAACCTCTCAAATAGAAGGAACAGAGCTAGATAATGAGAGGGATTCAATTAGTTTTAACACGGTTTTTGGATGATTTGCTGCTCTTTAGGATTATAGTTGCCTATACACAGTGAAATGTTGGTATGGAGTATTAGTAATTGAGAATATATTTAGAATAAGAGGTAGAATTGCAGTCTGCATTTCCAAATGGCATAAATTTATATTTTAAATCATATGAAATTTTAAGTCCCATTTTACCTTTTTTTTGGCTAAATCTTGGATTTACTGGATCCAAAAGTTCAGCGATTTTTGAGGATTTAACAAATGGAAAGCCGCAAGGTTGGAGAAAGTTGAGGGAAATAATATGTATACTTGTTAATTCCTTCTCGTTTCAAACTCCCATGGTGGCTTCTTTGCCTATTTTTCCTTGAGGGTTTTGGTACGGAGGAATGCGAGAAGAATGTCACTATGACCTCTTTGAACTCTCTCTTCACACTTTTGAAGAAGCGGAATAGGCGGCACAGTTGATGGAGTACGCTATAGTCGATGGATATTGGGGGTTCTACTTCCTTTGCGATTTCATCTCAAACAACTCTATGTTTCTCATTTAGATATAACTTTTGGGGATTTTCCTTTTAGTTAGGTATTCTTGGTTGATGGTTACTATGTGAAGAGAGCACGGAGCATGCAGTGGAGATCCTCTAGCAGAGGGAAAACTCTCTAGAGAAGGATTTTAAAGTTGAGGCAAAATATTTGATTCATTTGCTCAAGTTGTTGAAGTTTTCATAAGTACTTTGGTTCCTTCATTGGCTTAGTTCCTGTTTGTTTTTTACTCAAATTCAATATTTCTATTGTCTATGTGCTTGCTAGGCTCAAGTTAATATTATGGGACAATAACTTACAGACCACCCTAAACTTCCTACTTACAAATCAACCACCCTTCATCCATTTTTCAAATTCTCACTCAAATAACAAAATTCATGGTAAAACCCCAACCCATATTTTTTTTTTATCAAATTCTCAATGATTTTGTTGAAAGTAATCATCCAGGTGATTTTTTTGAACTACCAAATTGATATATTTACGCGTGTCATGATCAATGTTTCGGGTGATATGTATGTAATCATCCCTAATATTATTTGTTTTTTTATGATTAAATAGAAATCAATATTTAATTAGATCAATAATTTATCATTTTTTGATTAATTGTGATATTATCTTGTACCAATTAAAGAATGGTAAAGATTAATTGATGAATCTTAATAAAAATATAATTCTTGATTAATAGCTGCGTAAACTATCAATTAGTCATTAATGTAATTAGACATGATAAAAATCCAATCAAAATAAATTAGCCTTAATAGTTACATTATCGATAATTAATATTAAAATTATATTTGAGTCAATAAACTTAAATCTTGAAATAAGTAGCTAAACAATTCATCAGAGTTAAACTGGATCTAACTATTATCATACCAAATAGTTTTCAGGATTTAACCATTGCAACAATTACCAAATATGAATTTACAGGATTTACTAATTTCTACTTTAGTTAAATCTTGCTTCCAAACAGCCCAGTAAAATTCTGGCAGAGTTTATGGGGGTAAGTTTTATTTTTTTATGAGTTTGCCATACTGGAAGATTTATCATAATTTAATGAACTATTTGTCATCCCTGCGACTTGCAGAAAATTGTGTTGTTGCAAGTCAGGTGTGAATGGAGCTTTTCATAATCAACTTTGGCAGTATGTTGTCGTAAAAGCTGTATTTTTTTTTTAATGATTGTCTCCAGCTTTTTTGGACTATCATGATATACCATATAAGGTTGTGGAAGTAAATCCTTTCAGTAAGAAAGAAATCAAATGGTCCGACTATAAGAAGGTTCCAATTCTTGTTGTGGATGGCGAACAGCTAGTTGACTCCTCAGGTTCTTTTTTTAAACTTTTTGGCTCTCTTAAATAGAATCTTCTTATGATTCTTTGAATATATTTATTTAAAATTTCAAGTTCATCAAGTTTGTCTGTTCAAAATAGCAATTGTAGCAGGTCGGCAGTGAATACTTACTTTGGTTTTGTTCTCTTAGATATAATTGACAAGTTAAACCACAAGATCCATCCTAAAAACTCTGCTGTTGATGAGGAAGAGTCAACGTGGAGAAGGTAAAAATTTCAGCGTTATTCTATGTTTAGTTAAAGCCATGGATAATTACAGTGTTTTTCAACTGTTTGATCTCATGTTGTTTAATGTTGGTCTTGATGATCTCCTGTCATTTCTGCTGTTTCCTAGACTGTGTTAAAGCTGAGTTACAGGCTAGTTTTCATTTTGAAGTTAATTTTGTAATGTTGGTTGACTGTATAGAACTAAGTGGAAATCTTTTAACCAAAGGAATTTCAAATCTAGCTTGAAACATGATATACACAGTTTACACCCAGAAGCCAGTCTCTATGTATTAACTATTAGCAGCTTTGGTTACTTTTTGGAAAATTTAAACAAGAAGCACATAATTCTTATGTATTTACATATCTCACGCCTAAACTTTCATATTCATATAAATAGCAATTTGGTGCTTTAAACCTCTGCATGAAAAGTTGTTTTTCACTTTTAAAAAGTGGTAATAGTGCTATGTACCTAAATATGAAAGTTTAGTTTGAAGATAATTAAATGCATAAGAATTGTGCGCTATGTATATAAATGCACTTTACTTTTTTCAGTCATCCTCAGCTCTTTGCATAAATTTTGTTTTCAGAGTTTGAGGATTCCATAATTCCTTGGTCATTATCATCTGTGATGTTTAAATTGTACTTGTTGACTTTGGTTTTCGTTAACACAGGTGGGTTGATGAGCACCTTGTTCATGTCTTATCTCCAAACATATACCGTACTGCTTCTGAGGCTTTGGAGTCATTCAATTACATTACTACTCATGGTAAGGAGTTGCATGCTTTATATTTTTAAGCTATGCCTGTTTTTAGTTTTATGCGGGAGATCTTTTTGCTTCAATCCATCAGTACATCCGAGAGTGGCAGTTAATAGATAAGTAAGATGTGGGTCACTTGATTGTCTTTGTGCTAATTTAGTAATTATATTTGGCAAGCCATTACATCATTGCTGTTGAATGTGGAGCAATGGCATTTGCGGAGATTTTTTTTTTTTAAATTAGATGCTAAAATTTTAGAATGTAAAAAAATGTTAAATTTTCATGATATGTTGCTTTAGGATTGATACAAAAGTTTTAAGTGGAGTTAGTTTTGAAAAAGTTCACGAAGATAAGTTTTAAGGCTCATACGGGATACATATTGAGATTTGGAGGCTATGATAGATATTATAGTGATTGATCAGTAAATCTGTTTATTAAATTTTGAGAGGATACCAAATTATAGGGGAAGAAATATTTAATGTTTAAAAATAAAAGCGATGTTTAAGATAACTTTAATGATAGAGAAATTTGTGTTTAGGAGCAATACAATGAAGCTATGGAGAGAGTAATAGGATATAGTCTTAGAAATATCATATAATTGTTTTGAAACGATTTGATTTCATGTCTTGAAGTTCTATTTTGAAAGCAATTTTTTGATTAAGACAATTAATGAAATATGGATAATAAAGACATGCATCTTATATGATTTTATTGAACTTGAGAAGACATGATGGAGTATTAGAAGAATTGATTTACTTTGCATTAAGAAAGAAAGATGAGCGCTAAAGATTAGCTTACATTATTAAAGATATGCATGATTGAACACTAACTGATATTAGAAGTAGCTGTAAAGTGATCCTAGAATTTTCAATTATCGAAGGTTTTCATTAAGGATTAATATTGAGCTCATAACTTTTATGTTGCCTGTGTAGTTATTTGTAAAAGATATTCAAAGCGATGTGCATTGGTCAATACTTTTTACAGTCATTTTGTCTCACTCGATGAGACATTTATTTAAATAAGGGTTTATTTGGTCGGCTACAAAAGGAGTGGAATGAATTCTTTTTGTAGGAGTTTTGGAAACTAGATGTTGGTCAGAAGAATTTCAAATGCAGTGTAAAATAACAATGCATTTGAAATTCATTACTTGGTTCGTTTTCAATATATTTGAAATTCGTTGAATTTTAGACAAATTCTAAACACACAACTTAATGTAAACTGTTGTCGGCCTTTGCTCGCCAACACTAGCCCGTGCTTCGTTGTCATTGCCTGCCTGTTGTAACTTTTCATTGATTGTTGTCGTAGACCATAGCATCCCGTCGCCGCTTGATCTCCCGCTCTAGTTGCTCGTCGATTGTTATCGCCGGCCATTGGCAGCACGCCGACTACTGTCCACCACCACCCACTACAACTGCTTGCCACCACCCACCTTGCGTCTGCCTTCGCCACCCACACACTGCCTGCCGCCACCATTTGCCTGTCGCCAACCATATGCTCGTTGCCGCCACTGGTCGTCTGTCGTCCACCTACTTTTTTTTACTACGTATTTTATATTATTTTATTTTACATCAAACCAAATAAGAAATTATGTTCTATATATATTTCACGTTGAACCAAACAACTTCAAAGTATTTCAAATATAATACATTAATTTTACATTGCTATACTTTTTCAGCAAACCTAATATCTCAACAACAATAATAACAATAATAAACCTTTATCCCACTTAGTGGTGTCGGCTACGTGAATCATTTTTCTCCATTGTGTCCTATTGAATGTCATATTTTCATTTTATCCTAATAAATTAAGATAATTTTTTATACAATATGCTCAAACCTTTTTAGGTCTGCCCTTGTATTTCTTAACATAAGTCGAATCTAAAGCATCTACTCTCCTAACCGGTTCATCAGTTGGTCGACATTTAGTGTGACCAAACCATCTGAGATGAATTTCTCTAATCTCGTCCGCTACTGGCGCTACACCAACTTTTTCAAGGATACATTTGTTTCACAATTTGTCTCTAAGCGTCAAGCCTCTCATCCACCTAAGCATTCTCATCTCAAAAACGCTTAATTTAGTTTTATGTTTCTATTTTATAGACCAACATTTTGCGCCATAAAGCATTGCAGGTCTCAACTCCATCTAAGTCAGAGCGGTACTTTTATATCACACAATAGGCCCGATTTATTTCTCCACTTCAACCAACCAACTTGAATTTTACTAATGACATCCCCATATATATCACTATCACTTTAAACAATAGACCCATGATATCTAAGATGCCCACACTTTTTAATGATGTGATCCCTCCTAAGTGAAAAATTAAAACACTAGAGAATGAACGTTTACGATAATGAACTTTGATTTAATAGAACAAAGATTAAGTATATGATATGTAATTTCAATGATATTATAATATCAATTATCATTTAATAATATAAGATAAGATGTTAAATAGGTGTGATGGGTAGGTATCTTGGATATATTATGTGGAAGAATAGATGTATATATGAGGATGGAACCTCTAATTAAGATTAAATAATTAAAATGGAGAAGTTCATCAACAATTTTATTATGATCAGTGGATTTTTAAAGTTTTGAATGTTGGGCTGCAAAAATGTCATTGGCATCTAAGGTTTTTTTTTCCTTTTTTTTTTCCTTTTTTGCATATACATGTGGATCTCAACATCTTGTAGCTGTCTCATTGATATCTAAGTTGAGTGTGGAAAAAATGGGAATTTTGAGATAGGTGCCTGACAAATTTGGGAAAACATAAATCATTGAATGATTTTATTTCAACATCTTGTAGCTGTCCAATGATATCTAAGTTGAGTGTGGAAAAATGGGAATTTTGAGATAGATGCCCGACAAATTTGGGAAAAAATAAATCATTGAATGATTTTATTTCAAAAAACATTGGAGTGACATTTGTAGATGACAATGCGATTGAAAACAGATTTTAGATGATTTCTACACATATAGTAAATAATCAACATACAAATATTAAACTTGTGTATAAAATTAGTGTTAAATGATTGCAAAGAAATTTGGTAGAACTAACGTTATGCATTCAGAAGTGTTTAGCACATTAGACACACTTAATAGAATTGAATGAAAAAAATGAGGATTAATAACATCCATCCCAAATATTGGTTGGGATAATGCTAATGATGATGATGGTGTTGAGGGAATCAAGTCAAGCTTTTTATGAAAATTTAACTTTCCATGAATTTTTTTGTTTAACCCCAAAAGGATAAATAATTTGCATAATGATTGAAGAGAGCATTATTTTAACAATTAGTCTCTTTCAAGAGTAGATTTGTTGTACTTTTTGTTATGTTCTTGAAATAAACAAAAGATAGTGGTAATAATATTTATGTAAAGAAGATAGATGATCAACTGCCATTTAAGAGTCAATAACATGAGCAATACAATGTATTTGGCCTTTTTGAAGAGCAATTAGTATTTGGAGATTAGTGAGTTCCACGATGAGCTGATACTCCGTTGATTATGACAGTGTGGATAGAGTTGTTGCTGTAGAAGGAAGTTAAGTTTGTAGTTGGGTAGACTAGGCGTTAGAGAAAATGAAGGTGAGATAAAATTTAGAGTTATAAGAGGAGAAAAGTTAGGCATTCTGTGGGCACAAAAAAGAAGAGAGGTTGTTTGGGGGGTCGCCCGTAAGAAGCTGTCGGCAGCCGGAATTGAAATCCCATCGCCTGCTTTGGAAGGACATCTTAATTTACGTGTATATATATATATATATATAATTTTAGAAAATTATAAAATCAAACTAACCTCATATTTTTCACAGTTTAAATGAAAGATCGCTCTACCTCAAATCCTGTATCTATCCCGAGGGATAAACACAAGACTTGAGGATGAGGCTCAATCAAATAAACTAGGAAAACATATGACATCCGTTTGG